CCACCCTGGGGGTTTTTAAGAGGAGGTTGGATGACCACCTTACTGGGCTCGTTTGACCCCAGTGCTCTTCCTGCCATGGCAGGGGGTCGGACTATGTGATCTGCTCAGGTCCCTTCCGACCCTAGAAACTATGAAACTATGAAACCACACTTGAACCCCTCAGGAGTACCAAACTGTGGGTTTTATTCACTCAAATCACACCACTTTCCCTAACCAACCAATCCTGGGTCAGTCACTGTCAATCACAGGTCTTCCAATCAATTTGTTGTCTCACTTGATACATTCGCCTGTCACTCCAGCCAGTCGCTCACCTTCACCTCGGGACTCGCACATTTCCCACCAGGCGTTCTGACTCATCTGCGCGTGCTCGTGGTGTCTAACGAGGGCCGCAGGGCAGACATTCCAGAGGTTTCTGCTGGAAATTGTAACTGCTCACACTGTGACATCAGCTCGAACTATTAACAAGCTGGCACAAAAAATTCTATTGCTACAAACTAAGAATATCCACTTTCTGGTTTCATTTTGGAATAGGGCGCTTTGCTTCAGAGATTGCCTTATTGAGCAGGACCCATCAGGATGGGTCCCATTCCTGACAGCCGCCACTCCTTTCCAAGCTGCAGTAGAGTCTGTCGATCCCAGACAGGCCTCATCAGCCATCTTCGGACACAGAGATAAGACAGTCATCCCTGACTGTGGGGGATTAACAAGATGAGAAGATGATATTAAGCAGGCTTCAGACTCAGTCTCAAATGATCTCTCTCTGCTTCAGTGAATAGTCTTGTATTTGATTCAAAGCAGCATGGTTTGAATCTCTTCAAAAGGAGAAACTGAAAGCAGATGCCTGATATATGCCAGTAGGATACTATCCTGGTAGGTGATGGTTCATGTCCCTTCAAGGAAAGGGGGGAACTGAGTCTCCCAGAGGACAAGTGACCTAATCCCTGAATTAAAGGGGAATAGGAACAGTAGCCCTCTTTACAAATCTAGTCTAAAACTATTTTTCAACTTTGCAAATAGCATCAGGTCATCTGAAACCGCTTTTGTTGGCAAACAAACTGTTTGCTATCCGAAACATTCCCATTCCTAGTTCACAGCTCTGGGGCCAGAAGAGATTATCACAGAGGGGCCTGGAAAAGACTTATATCAAGAGTGAAGAAACAAAACCACCCTTCCTGGAAATGGTCAGGAAAGGAACAAACAGTGGAAGATTTTACTGAGAGCATTCCAGAGGATGAAAAAGCTCACACATAGAGAAACAGAAAACTTTTCAAGAACAGATGTCACATTGCAGTGGCCTAGCTCCACGAGCCAAAGCAAAGCAAACCACCCTGAGCTAACAACACTGCCCTCCCATTTTCTTTTCCTTTTGTCCAAGCACAGCACAAGAGTGATTTGTTTTGGACTTGGGAGACTGGGCTTGAAAACCAAAGTACTTCTGTTTGCAGTATTTGCATTACATATTTGCAAATTTTTTACCCTTATAAATCAGGCCCTTTGGCTGGCCAGTCACATTATTTAAAATGCTGTACGTACTTTATTTGTGTGCTCAGGAAATGCTTTTGGTGCATTTCTGATTCTGTTAGCAATTAAGTGCTTTTACAGTAGACTAAAACTAATTTTTTTTTTTGCTACTAAAATGTAGTGGCTACTACAAAATTCTAATATTCCCTTCTGTTATAGCCAGTGCATACTGTATTTTTAAAATAGTTGTTCTTTGTTCATGCCCAAACTGTCACCTTTATGAAAGGAGAAAGCAAGCTGAGGAAGGGGTTTTGGGCTCTGGGAAGGAAAAATAAATGGACCTGTACAGATTTTTATTTTAAAAGAGCTTTATTTTTATAAAAGGTAAATTTGGGCCCAAATTTGAACTGAAAGGGAACAGTAAGAGCATTATTACCAGCCGTGGCACTGTGAGCAGGGAAAGGGGATGGTAACCCTAGAGATCTACTCTGCCTGGCTCAAGGGTGATGCATTTTGTGTTTTGAATTAAATGGTGTGGTTGAGGGAAATCCATTTCCCAGATGTGCTAGGAAGATTAATTAATACCTGTAAAGTGTTTTAGGTAGGTGCTGAGAATCATGTTATCAAAAACATAGCTGCATTTTTGTCTTTGGCATGCCAAGATGTACTCACTGATACAGTTAATGTATCAAGATGTACTTGGCATAAGTCTTTTGACTTCAGCATAGTTAATCCTCATTCTCATTACTGCGAGCAGAATCAAACTCTTCACGTGACTAATTTAACAAAAGTAACAAGACAGTTTTTACAACAGGAGCTTTGTTCAGTGTCTGATGTGGTGACAAGCCACCCCGTATCATAGGACTGGTCTTGCTATATAGCGTCCTTCTTGCAAGTATACTATGCTTTCTTATGTTATATGAATTCCTCCCAGACCCAGATGTGGGGAGGAACAGATCTGAGGTGTATCAGGTGCATGTACTTGCATCCTTATTGTTCCATACCTCCTATTATTTGGAATCCCCTGCTTTTCCCCTACTTAAAAGGTAGGAAAGTGAATGTGCCTGATGAGGAATGTTGAACTGCAAGAAAACTTCCTAGTTAGATTTGTGTCTGAAAACTTCCTGTCTTCATCTCTCCCACAGATATTAAGCTGTAGCCCCCATTGAAAGTTCATGTTTCTAGTCTGGGTGACTGGTGAACCATCCAGAGAATGGGCATGGCCCTAAAATCCCCTCTCACCTGTTTTGCTCAGAGTCTGCATAACCTGCCTGAATGTATCTATACAGCTTCTCAGGACACCTGAGAGCAGTGTTGTCCAGAAGCACGCCCTGCTCTCCCACTCCTGCTCCACACATGTCAAACCCAGAACTAAGTCTGTAAAGACATCCTGAGGTTGCCTTCTACCTCCTCTTGCCAACTCCTTGCTTCCCCCTGAAGGCAGAGATCTAAGGAGTGGAGGCAACTTGCCATTTGCATTTCTAGGTTTGGTGCATGTGGAGAGGGAATGGGCAGATATTGGTGAGCTTCTCTGCAGCACCAAGGACCACCATGGAGGCACTGTGGACATGCCTCCTATCTTGCAGCCCTCAGAGCTTGTAGCCACACCGAGGCAGTCTAGGAAGAGAAATGTGGTAGGGACAAAGGGGGCTCTAGTTTAAATCCTCATCACGTAAATACCAGTCACAACAAAGGTGCAGCTCATACTGCCTCCTCATGATCTCTCCCATTTTCATTGCTGTTTCTTTGTAGGGTATCATCCAAGCCTACAAGAGTGGTCTCACCCTTCAGGGCAATACCACCAGTCTGGGGAGATGGGACTTCGTGGGCTCTTTCTTCTTCTCCATCTCTGCAATAACCACCATTGGTAAGACTGCTCTGCTGCTTGCACTGGGTAACATAGGTGGAATATGGACAGAATAAGGCGGAGCAGTCAAAGACATTCACAGTGCTCTCACCTTGCAAGACCTTTTCTTTCCCAGGCACTGCTTTTAAATAGAAGCATACTGTATACAGATCCCCAGTCCCTTTGTCTGTCATGAGCTTCTGTCCATCTCACAAGGTCAGCTGCATGGAAGGGCCTGCTTATCTGTGTCGCAGAGATGCAAGCAATTTAGAAGCACAGGATTGGAAAGGAGGCCTCGTGAGCTATCAGCTCTTTCAGGCAACTGTATAGCCCCCTCAAACACCAATCAAGTCTCATCTTCTGTGCCCCCACTAGTCTTATGTGGTTCCATTTAATTCTGGCACCTTAAAGAATGGGTGATATGAATTTGATTTCTAAACCCCTTACCAAAAGGTGCGAATGAACTGAAGGGGGACAAAACAGAAAATAAGGGAAAGTAAGAGTGGGCTTTGAGGAGGAGACATTAAAGAGCTACTGATGAAAATGTGGAAATAACCTTTAAACATTATTCTTAAGTCTCCTACATTGTACCTTGTACATATTATGTTAGTGCTGCAAACTTCCATTCAGTTCTAGGGCCCCACTGTGCTGTGTGCTGAACATATGCTTGGCATATGGAAATCCAAGTACTTTATTGAAGGAGGAAGAAAGCAGAAGGGCTCTTCCAAGCATCAGCTGCTTTACCCTAAGGCTAGGGACAGACATTACACATAAACCAGTTGAAGTGATCAGAAACTGGTTTACACCTGTAACAGAACAGATGTTCAGTGCACATAGGCCAGTTTGAATGGCTGAAACCAGTTTGAGATGAACCTGGTTGAATGTACTATCCAACTTAACTGATTTGGGTCAAACCAGTTTATGCTGTGTCTGTCCTAGACCCCTTGCTGGTTTAAGAGAAATCAGACTCCCCCAGTATCCTGGCATGCTCTCTGGACTGGGTGGGACTCTCTGCTCCACAGCAGGGCTGGCCCATCCCCTCTACAGCTCCAGAGACTTGCAGGCTGCTTCCCCCACCCCCTTGCTAAGCAGGAATTCTCCCCCCCTTGCTGAGAGGTGTCTGTTTATTAGCTAGCAGACCACATGTTGTGCTGAATCAACAGGTAGCTGGTAATGTGCTTCTGTTGTTTTCTTAATGGGATGATAAACACTGTTATCAATTCCCTGCTGGGCTATTCAGAGCATCCTGCCAGAGCCTGGCCACACTTCCCCTCACCAAAGTTCTGTGGAAGGGAAGGGAGGGCTGCTTTATTGCTCCCTAGCATCTAGCCTGAGCTACTGCAGGCATTTGCCTGCATTTCTGGGATGTCCATCTAGTTACAAAACTGATTTAGCTGAGCCATGTTAGACTAACCTGCAAAGATTGAATCAATTCAGGCTTAGGCTTTTTGAATGTCTGTCCCTAGCGTAAGTGCCTCTATACATGCTCTTAGCTTATGGTAAGTGGAAGCTAATCTGAAGTAATTTATCCTTGTTTCATTAATATCTGAGCTACCACACTTAACATAGAATAAAAGTGTACTTTTATCTTAGAACAGCTGGCAGAAGATAAAGCAATACCCCTTTTTACACTGTGAAGAATTGTTCTTGTATCCATACCTTTAGTAAAAAAGAGCAGATACCTGGAAGATTTTGCAGTTTAGTTAAAACATGATGCACTACAAAGATATTCACAGAAATGAAAGGAAAAGAGAGAGGATAGGAATGGGGAAAAGAACATGGGATTCATGCACTGGATGATAAATATAATATTAATAAATGACAGTGGGCCTGTGTCTAGGTGTTATTAAATGGATGTAAATCCTGTTCTTACTTTATGAGCTGGTTTTTCAGTAGCCATGAAATAGGATTTAAAATATCAAAGGACTTGCACAGAGGTCCATATTTTCAGCTTTAAATTGATTCTCTCATCCCTCTTTGTCTTTTGAGTCATTTTTAAACCCAGATCTATCAATGAGTCACACAGATGGGGGGGCACTGTTGTGACTGTTCTGCTCATTACTGAAAATGCATTGACGTCAGAAATGTTGACACTTTAAAACAAGGGCAATGACAGAATGCTTTTCTACGTGTTATAAAGAGGACTCCCATGACTGACTAAAGTCTTCGTCTGAGCCCTGATGTCTTTATTTTCACTCATTTTAAATATGAGGTTGAAAACTCTTCTGAGTGTGTTGATTCCCACACATACCACAAGAGGACAGCATAGCATTGTTAGATTGAGGAATCAACAGTTTGGGGCTAGAGATCTTTGGGTATTCTGACTGCTAGAGGCTTTGAGCAGTTATCTCAGTAGAAGAGCGTTATCTGTCCTTCTTAACTATTTTAGCCACATTGAGCTTACCCGCACACAGCAAAACTAACTTGCCTTTTCTAGTAAGGTCTTTTTAGAAAGGTCAGCAGCGTCCTAGACTGAAACGTTTTTAAGGTTTATATAGTGGCATTACTAGGAGTACAGCCATGCTACCACTTCCGTCGTCCATCATGACTGTTCAAAAGAACACTTAAAGTGTAAGAGTGAGCTAGCCTGTTTTATAAATAGAGATGCAAGTACATGCACTGTTCTTTCTCTTTGACTGTGCACTTGTATGTGTGCATTTGCCTCTCCTTTGTTACGCACATAGGCACTTGCACTTTCCTTAAGGTCAGAGAGAGATCTGATTAAAGCCACCCACCTAGGTGATGGGAGACCTCAATTCAAGTCTCTGCTCCACTACAGACTTCTTTTATTTGTGCTTCAATTTCCCATGTATGAAATGGAGGCAGTAGTACATTCCTGCCCTGCAGGGATGTTTTGAAGAGAAAAACATTAAAGATTGTGAGGGGCTTGGGTACTGTGGCTACTTATACACTATGTCAGTACTTTCAATGGATAGAACAAGTCTGCGTAACTCTTTGTGAAAGCACTGGATGGTCCAGTGTTAAACAGAAACCATATCTATTTATGGATGCCAGCTTGTTATGACCTAAGAGTTAAAAAATATATGTTTTAACCAAAACCCCATGACCTAAATTAGTTTGAGCTAGTTCCTCTTCATCAGATAATGACTGTAACATTACATTCTTTCTGAAACAGAGAAATACCAGTGAGGAGAAAAACTTAATCTGTTCCCTGTTTTATTTTTTGTAAATGAGAGTAGGCTAACAGAAGCAGTGCCCCATTTGAATCACAGCTGGAGCCAGAGGCCTCCTATGGTGGGAGAGCTCCAGGGGAATATGAATGAATTAATGGGGCATGTCCAGACCAATGTGGATGTACGGTTTGAGGTGTATGTGCAACCGCTAGACATGGTGTAAGTTTGCAGCATGGTGCCAAAATTTGGCACAAGGGACTCCTGGTATCAAAAAAACAAATGGCAACAAAAAGCAGTGTGGCACAAGCTGCAGGACTGTGTGCTGGAGCAACTGGAGGCTGGAGCAACTCCCTCCAAGGAGACTATGGCTGCCAGCCAGAGTGTCTCCCCTCCTATAGGTTTGCCCTGGCTCCTCCAGTATGCCAGGAGCTGAGAGAAGTGATGAACAGGCAGTTTGCCCAAAGCAGAACATTTTGCCCTGCACCACACTGCACGTGAAAGGGAATATGCAGTGGCAAAAAGAAGCGGCACAAATTTGTGCTGCTGCAAGCGCGTGCTTCTGTATGGACACAGCCATGGTGTTTTGCTGACACTTTTAGCCTCATTATTAATAGGAGGAAAGGATTATTTAAAATTATTTGTGTTTGGTTTTTATCTCCCATTTCTGATGTGATTCAGGCAGGAGCTTCCATGCCTAAGGATACAAAGGATTTTTTGACAGAGTGGTTTTAGAATGCTTCTCTTTCATTAATAGGGCGTTTAGATTGACCAAGTGCTACAATGATTCCAAGCCACAGAAGTAGATACACAATTAGGAAGCAAGAAAGCAAGACGGGGTGTGAATCAGGATTCAGTAAGTTACCCAGTGCCTATTTAATGCCACTAAGTTCTGCATTTGGGGGCTGATTACCTATTTTTGTTGAGTATAATGTTATACTGATATTGTTAATACTGTTAAGACAGTACATTGTTAATACATTTAGTGTAGACACAGTTATATTGATTATGAAGGTGCCTGTTCTGGTGTAGCTCATTGCCTTTCCAACATGGGAATAGATGTGTTGGTATTAAGTACCTTTATAGTGATAGAGCTGCTTTATCCACACTGGAGGCATATAGTTCTTCAAATGTACCAGCAGTGTCCGTGTGTAGAAAAGCCCTTGGCCTGTGGCCTCCAAGACGGGCCAAAGTATGGATGATTGTAGTGTCTATAATTCATATTCTGTGATGTTTGGGGACCTGATGTGGCAAATCGGGCATCTGATGTGGCAAAAACTCACTAGGGGGGACCAGAAGGGTTTGGGAGAGACCTTGTTTCCCCTAGCGCCCCCTGGCATAACAAGGAATAACGGCCACAAGTTGTTGGAGAGTAGGTTTAGATTAGACATCCATAAGAACTACTTCACAGTTAGGGTGGCTAGGATCTGGAACCAACTTCCAAGGGAAGTGGTGCTGGCTCCTGCCCTGGGGGGTCTTTAAGAAGAGGCTTGATGCTTACCTGGCTGGAGTCATTTGAGCTCAGTTTTTCTCCTGCCCAGGCTGGGGGTCTGACTTGAAGATCTACAAGATCCCTTCCAACCCTACTTCTATGATTCTATGAAATCTGAAATCATGCACTAGCTCTCTTCCACAGACAAGAGCAGTGTTGCACATGCTCATGATTTTATGGTAGTATAAGAGTAATGTTGTAACTGTGATGGTTCAGAAATCAGGCAAGAGACAAGGATTTCTAAGGGTCGTATCTTTTTTATTGGACCAACTCAACTGTGTGGTTGGGATGAAGTTAGACAAGCTTTCAAATGCAAGACACACTTCCTCTTGCATTCAAAAGCTTGTCTAACTTTATCCCAGCCATGCAGTTGGTCCAATAAAAGATATCACTCTAAG